AATAAATAAAGAAAGAAAATAAGCAAAAATATGAGAATTTTTTTAAATAAATTATTCGTGATAAACACCGATTAAAAAAATTAAATAATTTATTTTTGAAACCAAAAGAATTAATTAATTCATTTTCCAAAATGCGATGAATTAATTTATAATTTAATTTATAATTCAAGAATCTTTTTCATCATAAATTAAGAAGTAAAATTTATGGAAACCAATTTTGTAATGGTTTTTATTTCAATTTATTGACTTTTGTAATGGTTTTGTTGAAAATTAATTATGCCTCTCGCATACATAACACTAATTATTTATTATTTTTTATGTTTTAAAATCAATATTTTTTAAATAAAATAATTGAAATATATATATCATTAGTTTTGTTAAAAATTAATTATGTATCTGCGCACATAACACCAATTATTTGTTATTTATTCTTTTTTATGTTTTAAAATCAATATTTTTTAAATAAAATAATTGAAATAATGTTTTGAAAGAACCTTTCAATTATTAAATATAACTTTTTATGCTAATATTATTGATTATTTTGTTAATAAATATATATGAATCAAACGATTTTTCTTAACAAATAAATTTGATTTATATTAATTATGAGAAATAAAATTTTTACCTATATTATACAATACGAATCGTTGACTTTACATGTATAATGATTGTCCGACCGCAACGTAGCGCGTGTATCTAACTAGTTAAAAAAACTAAAAGATCCGATGAGTTTACTATTCCTTTACTGTTCACTTACACTCAATTTCACTATAGACAAGACCCATTTATACTGTTCTTATGCCTTGGTCATTGATTTTTCATATTCTTCGTTTATGGCCGTTTGATTTGTTAATTTTGTGTGCCCTCTCAGCTCTTTTTCTTCTGCTTTACAAATTGTTTATCTATTACTCCTGCGTTTTATCGTTATTTTTTTTTTTTTTGCCTTTATCTCTTTCATCATTTTTCATTTCTCTTTGAAAGAGCTTTTAATGCTCTTGCTATTTTATTCATTATTTTTTTTATTTCTTTTGGATGAGCATTTAATGCTCTTACCTGTTGGCATTTTGTTCATTATTTTTTTATTTCTTTTGAAAGAGCATTTAATGCTTATGTTCGTTCGTTGCCATCTTTCTTTTTAATTTTCTTTATCAAATAATTTAATGCTTCTCTTTTTTACTATTTGTTTCTTTTATTTTTTTAATCATTCATGCTATTCTTTAATCAATATACGCTATAAATATTTTATCCACCACACGTATGAAAACCCAATAAAAAAATCCTAGCAAACATAGCCTGACAGAGAAAGAATACTAAAATAGGAATTTCCTTAAACCAAGTTAGGCATGGTTGCAGTGAGGATTAATTTGGGCTGAATTTGCATAATATATATAAAATTAAATAATTTTTTTTACAATTAATGTTAATTAATTTTTATTTTTCAATATATTTTTAATTTAAAATATTAAAATATATTATATAATAAATTTATTCGCGGCAACGTGCGAGTAATCTCGCAATGAGCTAATTATAAAGAAAACTAAAAGAATTGGGATGTGTGAACAATGATTACTGTTTATTTATTATGCCACAGTTCTTTTGGTTTGATTTTTTTTTTTAGGTTGAACAGTAGCCAAGGCTTGACGTGCAAACGTGCCGGCCTATCCTGGCTGCAGAGGCCAACCAGGTGCGATCCTAGCTTTCTTTTTTCTTCACACGCACATATGGCCTATCCTGGCCACACAGGCCAACCAGACGCGAGCTTGGCCTCTTTTCATTTTTTTTTTCATATATATATATATATATGTATGTGTGTGTATTATCGTGAAATTAGGTATAAATAATATAAAAAATAATTTTTTTTAATTTTACGTGTAGTTTGAAGATGATATAATATATATGATATTTTTTAAGATTTTAATTTAAATATATGTATATTAATTATATTGTTTAAAATTTATTTTTTAATTATTTTTTTCTTATTAAAATTCTCATCAAATTATTTTTTTGATATAATTTTATTTGTTAATAAATTTGATTTTTTAATATATTAATTTTGGAATAAAATTTTGGAACGTTGGTATTTTATTTTTTAAAATATATTGTTATAACTTATAAATTTTGATTATATATATATATATATATATATATATATATATATATATATATAGAGAGAGAGAGAGAGAGAGAGAGAGAGAGAGAGAGAGAGATATTTTAGATAGTTTGACTCAATTTGTTTTTTAAAAAATTAATAATCGATTAAAAAAATTCACAAGTTTTATTTACTTATTTATTAGAACCAATTTTGTTGTAGTTTTTATTTTAATATATTGACTTCAATATATTTCATACAATTTAGGTGGATTTTTTTTTATATTTTTCTATTTATCCTATATACTTTGAATTTGTTAAGTATGACATATACAAATTGCTTTATATATATATTCAAAATTTATCGAACCAAATTTTTTGTAGTTTTTATTTTAGTCTATTGACTTTAATATATTTCATACAATTTAGGTGCTTTTTTTGTATATTTTTTATTTGTTCTGTATACTTTGAATCTCTTAAGTGTGTGAGTGTGTGTTTGTGTGTGTGTGTATATATATATATATATATATATATATCATTAGTTTTGTTAGAAATTAATTATATATCTACATACATAATACCAATTATTTGTTATTTATTTTTTCATATTTTAAAATAAAATTAGTTAGATAATTTTTTGAAAGAACCTCCAAATTATTCAAATATAAATTTTTTATGCTAATATTATTAAATATTTTATTAATAAATATATATAAATCAAATGATTTTGCTCAATATATAAATTCAATTTATATTAATCATCAAAAATAAAATTTTTATTCACACTGTATTATATAAATCGTTACTTCTATATATGTAATGATTATTTTTTATTGAAGCGTAGCTCGAGTACCTAATTAGGTATTATGTAATTATTCATACCTTTTGTGTCCAAATTTAGTCGAGGTTTCTCTTTTAAGAATCCAATTTTCAGAGATAAGATCATCTTACCTGACGTGGCAAATACTAAGATCGCCACCTCATGTCTCACCTGTACACCCTGTAAAACGTGTTAAAAATAAAGCTCTTTCCTTTTTGAACCATATCTACCACGTCATTTCATACGCGGAATAAAAAAAACGCCTCCTTCTTATCACTGTCGGCTCGCCGCGTCAACGGTAACTAAGTTACCAGTAAGAGTGCTTCCAAGCAAATCCATTTAACCTTACCTGCCAAAAGGGTAGTCAATTATAAATTAGTCCCTCCTGTTCCAATAAAGAAATTGATTAATCACTTTTTTAAAAAATATTGTTTAATTTTTTGATTAATATTATTTAATTTAATATTATTTTTATTCTAATTTTATTTATTATCAATCTTTTCATATTTTTTTAAAAAATTAAAAATAAATGAAAAAAAGAGTAAGTTATAAGTTATAAATATATTTAAAAATATAAAGATTAAATTATTAGTTTTTTTTAAAAATTAATTAATTGGTTTCTCAAAACGAAAAGGGTTAATTTATAATTTACTCACCAAAAGGGGTAAAGAATAAAAAAACTTTTATGGTTTCTGATTTTTCTTAGAACCTTCATTACACCTCCTCGTTAAATTTCAAATGTAGAGCATCGGGAGAAGGGCCGGCTATAATAGAATCGAAGGGTCATTGATGACGTGCATGCGCGGAAGTAAGCTAAGTCAACGCTCCATCTTTTCGCAGAATTTTTCACGTGGAGGTGGAAATCTGTTCCCTGAATTTTCCAGTAAAATTTGGACCGTCTGACCGTCTGGTTTCTATATATATATATATATATTTTTTTTTTTTTTGACTTGTTTGTCTTTTGAGGTTATTTTGAAAATTATCACGTACTCCCCCAAACATTGTTTAGTGAAATCACATGTCGGCATTGAGATATATATATATATATATATTCTTTAATTAATTTTTCATTAATCAAAACTAAATTCATCATTTTCTAAACTAAATCAATATTAATATATGTTTATTTTTTATTAATTATTAAATTTTTTTTATAACAAATGATTGTAAGTATAAAGCCACTAATAACTAATAAGTTGTTAAAGTTAGAAAGCAGACCTTTTTTTTGGGTTACAAATCAAAGTTGCGTCCTATATTAGGTAGAAATGTTAGTAACTCTATTTTTTAGGGGTCATGACTCACACTCTTTTCACGCACTGGAAAAAATAGACATCCAAGTCCAACATCTAGTGGCCTAGGAAGACATATAATTTTTTTTAAAAAAATAATAAAAATGCAACTATAGCAATATCAATCTTCACCTAATGTGATCCTATAAAGTAATTAAATTGCAATTATATGTAAAAATTTTATAACAGTATTTTATTTTTTCCAGGGCTTTAAACAATTTTATTTCATGTAGGAATATAGTCAACTCATATTCAAAAAACAAAGAATGTTTTTTTTTTTTCTCAACAAGAAAAATGTAAAATCATAAATGACAATACTTCAAATAGAAAAGAAAAAAAACCCATGTTTCCAACTCCAAGTTCTAACCTAACAAAGCAGACTGGCTTTAACCAACAAAAGAAAGGACATCATGGTAAATTCATTATCATTTCCCGCAACTTAGGCAGTCTAATAAAAAAAATCTCTCACCTACTTGACATTGCCATTTTAAGACTTCCTTCTACTCTTCCTCCTGCTCCCAATCTAGGGAGAAGATAAGGAAAAAAAGGAAAAATTCCATGGTTATCCGGCTATCAAATCCTATCTTAATTTTGCTTTTGGACCCAAATATCCTTCCCGAGTCTCCGCCTGCCCTTTAAATCCTATATATAAATACACCGCCTCCCATTCACAAGTCTCTCGCTAATCGTCACATAATTGTTGTTAGTTCTTGTTAAGTCACTTAGTTTCTTTTCAACAACCAGTCTTTTACTTTGTTTTTTGAGGTTTTATTATTATTATTATTATTATTTAGACAGCAGCCATGAATGCTCTTGCAGCTACAAGCCGTAATTTCAGACATTCTGCACGCATTCTTGGTTTGGATTCTAAAGTTGAAAAGAGTCTTTTGATCCCTTTTAGAGAGATCAAGGTATATTAAAAATACAAGGAACATTTTTGGGTACAAAGAGAAAAAGATTCTGTCTTTTTTATATTTTGTTCTATTTTTTGGTGACCAGGTGGAGTGCACGATTCCCAGGGATGATGGAACTTTGGCGTCTTATATTGGATTTAGAGTGCAACATGATAATGCTCGTGGACCCATGAAGGGAGGGATTAGATATCATCCCGAGGTATCATTACATTTTTTCTTTTGTACTAATTTGTGTTTCTTGATGATTTGATGTCTTGTTTGGCCAAACAGTTGCTCTTTCTGATTTGTTTAGTTAAGGGCAAGTTTGGATTTTTAAATGGGGTCTTGTTATGGTAATGATTAAACATAGGTGATTAGGGCTTGAAAAGAAAAAAAAAAAAATGGCCACCATTGATTCTTCCCAATTTTAGCTGATTGTTGGATCTGAACCCTGATTTCCTCTGGAAGTTTGGAAATAAAGAAGTTTGTCAGCTTAGTATATACAGATTTACCTTGGTCCTTTACGGGCCTTGTGTTGAAAGCAATTTGAAACAGATATTTTTATTGGTGCAGTTCCACGGATAAGTTGTTTCAGAAATTGGGTTTATGCTAATGTTAGTGCTTGCAAATGTTGTATATCCTAGATTTGTTTTGGGCTGTTCTGTCTTTGTTTGAGCCACATAAATTTGCTTTGGTTTCCTGTAATTACATATAATAGAATGCGGTTAGGACTTGAGCGTATCAGGACATTACAGTTTTTCTATCTTGTGAAATGTTTGGCATCCATTTTGAAGAAGGACTTCTGCCAACTCATAAATGTTCTAAATCAGATTTCTCCAATTAGTAAAATAGTGTAGAAAAAATCAATAAATTTATTCATACTTTCCTCTAATTTTATTTCTGTGCCAATTTTTCCAGAGCAATGTCACTTGAAATATCTTTGCTCTGTTGTCCCTGAAATTGATGTTGCTGAAAGGATTTTGACTTTGAAATTGATGTTGCTGAAAGGATTTTGACTTTGAAATTGATGCCGATGCTTCTCCTTATTTTGTTCTTGAAAGGTTGACCCTGATGAAGTAAATGCCCTTGCTCAACTAATGACCTGGAAGAGTGCTGTAGCAGACATACCATATGGTGGAGCAAAAGGAGGGATTGGATGCAACCCAGGGGATTTGAGTACAAGTGAGTTGGAACGTCTAACTCGTGTCTTCACTCAGAAGATCCATGACCTCATTGGCGTCCATACAGATGTTCCGGCACCCGACATGGGCACTAATGCCCAGGTATATCATGCTCGCTTATTAACTTTCCATAAATCTTTTTATGTATTCAATTTATCCAATTCTATTGCTAACGATAAACTTTAACCATGGGTATAAAATGTATGAACAGACCATGGCATGGATATTGGATGAGTACTCAAAATTCCATGGTCACTCGCCTGCTGTTGTGACAGGGAAGCCCATAGTAAGTGCTAGAGACTGGCATGCCCAAATTTGTTTTCTTTTTCAATAACATGTAAAAGCCAAGCAGAATGGCTCCTCTCTCCTACTTTCTCTCATATACATTTATGTGATGTTAGGATCTTGGTGGATCACTGGGTAGAGAGGCTGCAACTGGGCGTGGAGTTGTTTTTGCTGCAGAAGCTTTGCTTGCTGAACATGGGAAGTCCATCAAAGGTTTGACATTTGCAATTCAGGTAAACTTGAAATGTAAATTTTAATTGCAGGCTAAACCCCTACCTTTCTAGATATTGTCATGTTGAAAGAAAAAAGATAATAAACTTATCAATGAATCATCTAGGGCTTTGGAAATGTGGGGTCCTGGGCAGCGAAGCTCATTCATGAGAGGGGTGGGAAAGTTATTGCTGTGAGTGACATCAGTGGTGCAATTAAGAATCCAAATGGAATTGACATTCCAGAATTGATCAGGCATAAAGCAACCGCTGGTAGTTTGAAAAATTTCCAGGGTGCAGATTCCATGGATGCTAATGAACTGCTCGTGCATGAATGTGATGTCCTTATACCATGTGCTTTGGGTGGAGTTCTAAACAGGTTCAGCATCTTGCCAAAAATTGTTCCTTGCTTTTCAGTTTCTAGACAGTATTGCGTATTCTTTCTTTGGCCATAGTGATTTTATTTTCTTCAGAAAACACATGGAATCTTGAGTTGATCTCATGCATGTCCTTTGAGATAAATTTATCTGAAGTGATGTAAATTAGATGTCAAGTTGGAAAACTGCCGGTTAGAAATTATTATTATTTTTTTCCATCTGTGTATCAGAAAATTTTAAGATTTCTTTTTTTCTTTTAACTAAATTGATAAACCACATCTAACATTTCCTGAGTATGGTTGGCCTTTGAAGGGAAAATGCTGCAGATGTGAAGGCCAAGTTCATAATAGAGGCAGCAAATCATCCTACTGATCCAGACGCAGATGAGGTAGCATTGAATTTCTACTCTTGTTGTCTTCCATGAAAAACAAAAGAAAAATAATGATGGAAGATGTTATTCTGATTTACGAGATGTAAATATTGCAGATTTTAGCAAAGAAAGGAGTCGTGGTACTTCCTGACATATATGCAAATTCTGGAGGTGTCACTGTTAGCTATTTTGAATGGGTTCAGGTAATGGATTACAATGAAAAGAAAAGCACTGTTCTGCTGATATTGTTGACATGGTGTAGCAAAGTTTATGGAAAACACTTTATGTTGAATGAATCTGCATATGTCCTGTATACCTCTAACTTAGTTGCCAAGTATACTTCAGCAGAGTAGCCAATTAGATTAGACAGGAGGGAAGTGAAGTCAATACCTTCCTGAAATTTTACATTAGGGGCTTGCAAACTCTTTAGAAACCTTGAATCTGATTCCCAAGCATCTGACTTTTGTGCTCGTGCAATGCAGTGAAATACTACTTTGGTTTCAGTTTGTTCATCTTGCTAGTGAAGGATATGCTAGTTTTGCTCTTTCTAGGTCAATCAGGAATGCGTTTTTTATGGTGCTTTTTATGAATAAGTTTATTTGCGAGAAGATAGAGGCCATCGTCAAGGATCCATCTTGAACTGTAATACAAATGACTGACACATTGCACATGATGCTGAAACAAATCCGTTAAGTTTATGGAGCAGCAGTTAACATGCTCCACTTTGACTGATTTTGCAGAATATTCAAGGTTTTATGTGGGATGAAGAGCAAGTGAACAAGACACTTAAGAACTACATGACTCGAGCCTTTCATAACATCAAAGGCATGTGCCAGACACATGACTGCAATCTTCGGATGGGTGCCTTTACCCTCGGTGTAAGCCGAGTTGCAAGAGCCACTCTGTTAAGGGGATGGGAAGCATAAGTCCTCCTCTCCAGTCTCCAGCTCTTTTTGTCCCTTATCTTCTTACAGCCAAAATATCCAATCCATACTCCAGCTGAAGTTTACTTTCTCATAAAGTCTTCATAATTTTATACTGGGAGGATTTTTTTTTTTGGTTCCAAACTTGATATTCCTCCTATCAGCATTTACAAAAATTAGTTGTTACGTTATTGCAGCTCTTGATTCTGAGACTGAAAAGCACATGTTGTAATCTTCAACTGGCCTTGTGCAACAGTTTTGATATTCAAGAAAATAATTTTTTTGCTGACTGTATTACTGGCTTAATTTTGCATGAATGCAATCCTTATTTGTATAATCATCCTATGGTACTTGTTAGCTTAGATTTAAATAACAGTTGTTAAATAACGTATTGGCCGTAATATAACGATATGTTATGTAAAGGTTTAGGATCAACTCATTACTGTTATTTGGCGTTATATAATAGCTATGACCATTATTTTATTACTGTGATAAGCGCTAACAGCTACGATTGTTATTTTACTGCTGTGGTAAGCTGTGATTGCAAATCGCGACCACTTGTTTTTTTTTTCAACTGCATTATTTTCACTAATGTCTGGCTATGACGTTTGCTCAAATTTCATGAAACAACAAGAATATTTACAAAACCTGCTATCTAAAGTTATCCTTCCCAGTGGAAATCTTAACTTCAAAAAATGGGGATCTTGCTTTCCTTGGTGGCAATTTCTTATACTAGTATATTCCCTTTCATTGATTTGGCCATTTCTTTCAACACAAAGCAATTCAATACCATTCTCAAACAAAAAACTTGCCCATGACTTTACTGACAAATAGGGCGAGGCAAGATAATTTGCTTTATCATAGAGCATGGGCTACTTCCCTGTTATCTATCCTCGCATTACCACTAAGAGAAACAACAAAGAGAAAGAAAAACCTAGAGAAATATATCTCTTTGAACATCCATGGCATCTATCTCCATTTCTGCTTCATTGCATAGAGCCTGCAGTTCTCATCATCCCATCAATAAACAACAGCCTCAAGCCAGGACTGCAAGGTCTTTGGGATCAAAGCTGGTGACCCATGTTGTTACTTTAAATGTCGAAGGCCAAAGAGGTGTGGGCACGGCTGAACAACAAGAGAAGCCTGCTTTATACACTGATAGTCCAAAGAAATCCAATGATCAATCGGAGAATGGTTTGGAAACTGAACCTCCTGTTCCAAAATTTATCGATGAGCGTTGGAAGAAAGGGACCTGGGATTTAAACTTGTTTGTTAGGGATGGCAAGATGGACTGGGATGGTCTAATTGAAGCAGGTGAATACATTCTATTCCATCTGAAATGTAAAAAGTATCTAACCTTTGCCTTAGTGAGTTTCTTGATGCATATTTGAATCTTTACAGCCATTTTTGTTAACTAGTGCCTATCTCTTGTAAATTACCAACTAGGAAGGCAAGAGTGTAAACCAAATACCATTTTCCACTAATGATTTTGTCTAATACCTGTTGGTCTTGAAGAAGCAAAGAGGAGAAAAATTCTTGAATTGTATCCAGATGCATCTACAAATGAAGACCCTGTGCTCTTTAGGAGTTCCATTATACCTTGGTGGGCATGGCTCAAAAGGTCATATCTTCCGGAGGCAGAGCTTCTCAATGGTAAAAAACCTCTCTTTCAATCCACACTCTCATAATTTGGTCTTTAAATTATACATGTCTCACAGTTGCATCATTTCTGCAGGTAGAGCTGCAATGGTAGGATTCTTCGCAGCTTATATTGTGGATGGATTGACAGGGGTTGATATGGTTGGCCAGACAGGAAACTTCATTTGCAAAGCAGGACTTTTTGTGACTGTCTTTGGCATAATCCTTTCTAGGCGAATCGAAGATTTCAAAAACCTGAGAAAGCTGGTTGATGAAGCAACCTTCTATGACAAGCAATGGCAGGCATCATGGAAAGATCAAAACGCACCAAATACTGGCGCTTCTGACAAAATTATGAACAAAATGTAGTCAGATAGTTCATATGTATCCATGTTACCCAAAAAAGAAAAATGAAGATTGCAAGTAGTACTGGATATTCATTGGAGAAAGAATTTTTTGTATAAATTTAGTTCAAGTGCACTACTTCTTGTTGCCGTTGATGATATCTGGGAACCCTAAACTGAATTAAAGAGTTGAATTTTGTTGGGAATGGAGTTGATAAAGCAAAAAATCGATTCACTTAAAATAATCATCCCAGTATTCTCTGAACAGCAACACCAGTCAAAACCTGAACCTGTCTAGCTAGTGTCTATGCAACAGCAGTGAAGTAGAGATGGCAAACCCTTGCAGTTGCAGATTTTGTTCTTTCTAAAATGTCAAACTGCTCCAGCTTTTCTGAGTTCCAGCAAAGAAACCTGTTATTTTTCATGAATCCTGATTAGTATAATCATCAAATGACTTAATTTAATTTCCATTGAAAATCACTTCTTCTTTTTACTTGCCAGTACTAGGTCACATTATCACTTGAGTCGACGAAGGCCCACCTTTCCATGTTTCGATGAACTTCTTCCTTCGTAACTGCACTAATAACAGCAGTAGCAGTGTCAGTAGCTAGCCAGCCCCATCTCTTCGTCCTTCTCAGACTGCACTAACAGCAGGAGCAAGCTAACCCTATCTCTCAGAAGGACAAAAGTGGTTGATGGCACTCAATAGTTACCAGTCACCGGTCACAATCTTGAAGGTGAAGCATAAATATAACCAACCATGTTAATTGATACATGTCTGCAATGCAATTAATGACTCAAGAACGTCAGCCACATGACATCGTACGTCAAACTAAGAAGTCCACAGAGATGAAACAGCCAAAAACTAAAAAATATAGCTTATGCAGATAAATTACAGTCCTGCTTACAAGACACGAGAATCGATCAGACCGTATACAGTTAGCTGAAAGGTACTGACAGTGGAGTTTTTAAAAGCCGCTAAGGGCTTTAACCTTCAACTTTTCTCAATATATTATAGGGAACTGCTCACGTAATCTTGTACAACACTAGACAAAAAGAGAAGGTGCAATTTTTTTTAAACCCGAGAATCGATTATTTTTCAACCATTTTCATGGGCATGGATTGATTTTAAAATCGAAGTTTCAAACTCTCCACACTTTTCACACTTTTAACATCGGATAAGTTAAAAAAAAAAAAATGCCACGAGAATGACATAAAAAAAAATTAAAAATTGTTGGACAAATTTTGCAAACTTAAGAAAATAAATTTTTTTAAAAAAGCATATTTTTGGTGCTCAATATTTAATTTTTTTCTGTTTCAATCCCCGACCTTTGTTTTTTTAACTATTTGAGTCAATATACCTACTTGAAAGTATGAGGCATTGACGTGACATAATTGACTGTCACGTGACAGATTTCGCCAGATACGTCAATAAAATTAGATCTTAATTGTACTCAGCACTAAAACAAATAAAAAATTAAAATATAGATAGTAAATCATGAGAAATCAATGTTTCACAAAAAAATAAAAATAAAAAAATAAAAAATTAGGCATGAAAAAAGCCTTTCTCTCACTGTCGGACTAAATTAAGAGGCGTATTAAAATTTTAATAATATAAAAAGTCTAGCCTGATGTGTAAAAGCCACCTCCAGTTTATTTTACTGATGATTAGGGTCAAATTTCAACAATACATATATATTTTTTAATATTTTTATACAAGCCTTGAAAATATTAATTTCGTATCTAATTTAAGAAATTCTATACAATAACTCTGATGATCAAGAAGATTTTTTAAAACCTTCCACGGAATAAATTTAGTCTTAGTCGAAGTTTAAGACCCCTGGAAAGAGTTTTTATTTTTTATTTGATAATAATATATATTTTCGAATCACTTTATGCATTAATCACCAAACAGGATTAAAAATGCAACTTCTACATGCATTAAAAAGATTTTTTTTTTTTTTAACTGCTAGCCCTAAGATTTGAATTCAATAAGTAAAGTATATAAGCATTGGTTAACTTTAGACCACTCCACAAAAATTAAAAAAATAATAATAATTTTGATTAATAAATAAACTTATCCGAAACTATTATAATCTTTGTAAAGTCGATGTTTATAATTCCAAGTGCTCCAACCAAATATCCATGTCATCATAATTACAATTTAAAAATAATTAGTTTTTATTTTTGTTTTTGTTTATATAAATAGGGATTAAGTAGCTCACTTAATTATGAAGCGCTAGGAGATTAGCATTGATTGTTAGTAGTTAAGGCGTTTGGAGATTAACGTTAATAGTTAGTGATTAGCAGAATAGGAGATGGGTCACCAATTATTAAACGTTCGGAGATTAGCATTGATAGTTAGTAGTTAAGTTGTTTGGGGATTAACGATAATAGTTAGTGGTTAGCGGAGCAAGAAAGAGGGTCATATTCATCACTACAAAGGTAAGAAGCTATTCTGACTTTCTCTTATAACGAGATTTTTTTATATTCAAATACTCTAGAAAAAGAATTTAAACTTTTGATCTCTTACAAATACAAAAAATTCACTAAAATTGTACTAGAAACCCATTGATAAAATAATAATAATAATAATTAATTAATTTTGATTAATAAATAAACTTATCCAAATATATCATAATCATTGCTTAGCCAACAATCATAATACCAAGCGGTCCAACCAAATATTCATACCATCATAATTACACTTTATTATGGCTACTCTCTCTCTCTCTAGTTGGTAGGCTATTTTTAATAAGCTTATTGTACCTAAAAAAAAATATAAATTTTATAATTTTTAATTATGTTAGCATATTATTTTAATGCTGGACAAAAAAGATAAAAGCTAATCTTGTGGTAACCATATTAGCATAGATGAATATTTTTTTTTGGCTTAAATTTCGTTTAAACTGACGTGACGTGGGAGTGAGTATGAAACATGACTAAATTGGTAAGATTTCACGTGACTTATTTGAGAAATTTAACCACCCATTTTCAAACTACATGTCATTCATTCCCTCCAAAATTCAATTAAAAATTCCCTAACCTTTCTTCTTCTCATTCGTGCACCCAGAAATCTCCCCCTGCCCCGACAAACGCAGACCTCTACCTCTCCCTCTCCCTCTACTGCTGCTAACCCACACTCAATCTTCTTCAATTCCCCAATGAACCCTGAACCCTCCCTCTACCGCAAACTTAATTGAATTCAATTTGACAAAAAAAAAAAAAAACCTAATCCCGTAAATTACAAAATCCAAACCCCAACGAACCTTCAACCACTTCATTTATCCTAACAAAATTTTAAAACCAAAACATAGACCTGCAATTGATCCATTTCCACTTAATTTCTTCATATGATAACTAAAAGTTCTAGAGGTAGTAGCTTCAACATAGATGAAGCTTTAGAAATATGTTTCTTAACTTTTAAGACGCCTTGTAAGCATAAGACGGAGACGAACCTATATATTTCATGAACTCAAACGAACCTAGAGAAGAAGTTTCTTTACTGCCCATATTAGAAGGTATGAATAAAGGCAAAACCAATTCTGACAATTAGGTTGTTAGTTTTACATTACCCTATCCCTCGTGGGAATCTAGGACTCTATTGTTGTGATTGTCTTAGCAAAGAAACTGCAATGAGCAGCTTGCTTCTGTGATAGTTATGATCTTGGGGATTGGCAGGTTTCATTTGAGTCTGTTGGGTGTAACTTGTATCATGAGTTTTTGGCTCTTATTGAATCTGAGATGTGGGTTTGTGGCGGCAGAGGGAGAGGTCGAGGTCTAGGTTTGTCGAGAGAAGAAGGAGACTTCTGGGTTCAAGGATGAGAAGAAGGATGCTTAGAGATTTTGCAACGAGAATAAGGAAGGATTAGTGATTTTTCAATTGGGTTTGGGATGTAATGAATGACATGTAGTTCAAAAATTCGTAGTTAATTTTTCAAATAAACATGTGAAATCCTACATGGCAAATTTAACTATGCTGTTATAATCACTCTCACGTCACGTCACGCCAGATTAAAACAGAATTTAAGTAAAAAAAAAAATCATATATGTTAATATGATTATTAAAAGCTTAGTTTATATCTTTTCTACCCAATATTAAAAAAAATACTAATATAATTAAAACGTATAAAATTTATATTTTTTGATATAATAATCCTTTTTAATATGTAACAATCCCTTTTTCTTCCTTGTTTTCTTTGATATGGAAGATATTTTATTTTATTTTGTTATTTATTCCCTATAATCATTGTCCAAACTTTTGATATTTGATTTGAAAGTATAATTCTCTTTTTAAATGAGAGTTTATGTCTTTATATTGAGAGATTATTTTTTAAAATAAAAGTTTTGAGATTTTTATTAGGTTTTTTGAATAAAAGTTTTGAGATTTTTATTTTTGTTATTTGAAATGGATTGACATTTATTCGATGTGCTTGAAGATTTAAAATTTTTATTTTGTTTTCTCGTTGATCTATGGTAATAAAAGATTCATGTGCATGCATAATATGAAAGAAAAGTTATGTTATAAGAAATTCTAGTTTGAAAAGTTTTGAGGTGTTGTTTGATTATTAGGAATGAAAGGTTTGGAATAAAAATATAAAAATCGAAATGAAAATTAGAGAATTGAAATGATACTTGCATTTAGATACTATATTTGAAATACTAATAAGAAATCAGAATAAAATTTAAAATTTTTAAAATTTAATTTTTTATATGAATAAAAAAATAATTAAAAAAATAATTTTTCAAACTAAAATTGTTGTAAAAATAATAGAAATGATAACGAGTAGTAATGATGATGACGGTAATAGTGGTAATAATAGTGGCAATGGTTATGATGATAGTAATAATAATGGTAGCAGTTGCTATGGTAGCTATTGTTTTGATGGTGGTTAAAGTAATTATTATTTTATTTTCATTATATGTTTTTATTTTCATCTTTTAAATGGAATGGAGTTACATTTTTTTCTCAAATAATAATAATAATAATAATCCATGCCATCAATCCCTTTCCTCCAACCCTGAAAAGAAGCAAAATCTAAAAACACATTATGTAACAAACTTTCCTTTGTTTCCCTCTCCCCGCTAACAAACTTTCATTTCCTTCCAGTTCTCCCTCACTCCCCCCTCCTTCTGTACGAACGCAAAAAATGTCGTCCCTCTCTAAATCACCCTCTTCTCCGCAACCAACCCTCCACGACAATTCCGACGCCGAGCGCCGCCTTCGTGAGGCCGAGGAACGCCTCCGCGAAGCAATAGAGGAACTCCACCATAGAAACGCCGCGCATGGTCCTTATCCTCCTTGCGATCACGGACCTGATGAATCCTGTGCCGCTTATGCGATTGGTAATCTCTGCCAAAGCTTCCTTCTCTCTTACGGTGTTCGTGTTGGTATCGGCATTTTGCTTCGTGCTTTCAAGCTTGCTAAAAGACAGTCTTACTCTTCTCTCCTTGATCTCAAGGTAGACGGTTTACGTATTTCATGGCCCTTTTCGTAATTTTGTTAGGATTTAGGGTTAATTGTTTGATTACTGTGTTATTGGTTGAATTTAAGAGAGAATTCGCATCAAAATTGTGCGAATTTTGGATTTATTTTGTTACTGGAAATGGCAGCTTTGTAATTCAGATGTTTGTTTGTCTATTGTGTTATTAATTGAGTTCAGTGGATCCTTTGGCATCAAAATTGTTAAAATTTTGATTATTTCTTTTTGGAATTTGCTTAATTTGGTGTAGAAATGGATATAGAGAATGTTTCATGGCAGTGTGTGAGAATTTGGATTTGTATTGCAGCAACTTGTCTCGGAGAAGGATTTAATTGTGAGAGAGGAGGCGTGTCGTGTTGGGTTACTTTTTGGTGGATTTACTGGATCATATCATGCACTGAGATGCTTTTTGAGGAAGTTTAGAAGGAAAGAGACGCCTATTAATGTGTAAGTTGCAAATGAATGTTCGAGGATGTCTTTTATTTAAATTTATTTAGTTAATGAAATAATGATTTATAGCTGCTTTGATAGAACATATACCTTGGTTATGACATTGTTTAAGGGGGTGATGGAACAGAATTTTAGCAGGTTCGGTTGCAGGGTTGTCTGTTTTAGCATTAGATGACTCAAACCGGAGGCGTACTCTTGCTCTTTATCTTTTGGCTAGGGTATCTCAGGTAAATGAGTACAATTTGATATTGTAGTGGTAAGCTTTTGATCTTCATTTTGTCAGTCTAACACTAGATTTTCTCTTAGTGTGCTTATAATTCTGCAAAATCTAAAAACAAGTTTCACCTTTGGGGAAGCCATTGGAGACATGGAGATGCTTTGCTCTTCGCACTTGCTTGTGCCCAGGTAAATCAAAGTTCACCTTGATGCATGGGACCATGTATTTGTAAGAACATTTCTGTGAAGTTGTTATTCAAACCTGCTTATCAAAATGTAATAATAGTGGAACAGGCGGGAAATGAGAACTGAATAAGCTGGTGGTTGGCAACCAAGAGATGGCACATGGACTACTTACTTTTATATAGGAGAAAGAATTAATGATGGGAGTGGAATAAGAATTGGAGGAAGTGGAGTTGCATCTGAACTATGTAGTTGATACTGAACTATAATAACATACCTACATGGCCAGCCATGTTTGTGTGGGGGATGGAATGCTGGCTAATCAAGTAAAATAAAGTTTGCCTGATTGGAATGCTGTTGGAAGATGAATGGGATGATTGAGTAGTAAAATGGGAAAACAGAGGGTTATAAATGTATTCAATTTAATTACAACAGTTTGTTTGGTGCAAGTAGGTGAGTTGGTTTGATGTTTTAGCTTCTGCAAAAACATTGCTACATAAGTGCGGAGTATTGGAGTTACGGTTGAAGATTTAGCAAAGGCGGGGGGGGGGGGGGGGGGTGTCTGGGCTGTGTGGGGGGAAGGAATTAGAAGGTTTATTAGCAAAGTCAATGTAAAATACTAAGTTGCAGTTTGTATAGGAAAAAGAGTAGTGATGCTGCTGGCCTTGAATAGATAAGGTCTTTCTTGGATTAAGTTGGTCGATAGGTTTATAATTTATGATCTAAGTTCAAGAATGATAATAAGGCAGGAAAATGTTTTGATTTACTCTGTATGAATTTGGAATGACAGAAACTCTTTTTTAATATCAAGGCTGATTTAAATCCTGAAAAATGTGCAAACTGAGGATGATATTAGCCAGCACTTATTAGTTGCTTCTAATGATTTATATACTGGCTAATAGGAATGGTTGTGAAACCTAGATCCTTTCCTACAAAATTTTAATTTCCTTGTTCTTTATGTTTTGAGCAAGTTATTTATTAATCCTGTCACTTCTCCATCCATCTGCTTATGTATGTTACATAATTTTATTATGTTGTTTCCGTTATTGTTTTATTAATTGCCAAACTTCTTCATGTTTTATATGCCTCCGGCCATTTTCATGTGTTTTTTATTATCACTTTTCAGGTTATGTATTCCTTCATAATGCATCCTGAGAGCTTGCCAAAAGCATATCTGGACTTCATTCAGAAGACTGGACCAGTTGCAGCGCCTGTATACAAGGCAGTAAGAGAAACCTGTAGAGGTGGCCCAGTGGATGTTGCCTCATTATCAGCTTTTTTATCTCGCAGAGGGAAACTGGACTCCGTGAAGTTGGAAGAATTCCCTTCAATTATTCCTTGTTCTATTGTTCACCCGGCCACAAATTCATGTTTAACTCAGAATGCTAATGCAGCATCAGCTACATTCAGGAAAACATTTCCACTTTATTTCTCATTGACTTTTGTACCTTATGTTGTTCTGCACCTGCAGAAGGTAATCTTTGACTCAATTGGATTCTGTATGTTTTTGGTTTTCTTCTTTATGCTTCCCCTTCCTGGAAAATAAAATCTGAGATTTGTGTAATAATGGATTTATGCCATGTTCAGACATTAAGGTTGCCAGTGCATTCTAAACCAGAAATGAACCATCGAAGCAATCAACTAGTTGTGGTTCTGCCTAAGCAGGGTCTTGGGAGGGAAACAGGAGATAGAACTGTATGCTAAGAGAAATGAAAAGTTTAGCTATATGAACAGTTTTTGGGCCGTATCTAAGTTACAATTTACAGTATCTGGAGTGTGAATAGTCCCACCTCTTAAGATAGTCTCACATGCCTTGTCACATGATATGTCTTGGCCACATCTCTTTTTTTTTCTTTCTTCTTCTTCTTCTTCTTCTTTTTTTTTTCAGGGTTTAGTGATTGATGCTTTCATTTTTCAAACTAATATTTCTTTTGTCCAACGTTATCCTTTCCTTCAAGTTCATGGATGCACCTGCTTGGACATGTTGGCTTGCTCTTAGAGATGCTGTTCGCTCAACAACATTCTTATCTGCATTTGTTGGAATTTTTCAGGTAGCTGTTAACTCATTTTTGTTTTTTTGTTTTTAATGTTAAAATGGTGAATTTGTCCTTAGTAGTTTGTGGATGATGCAAGGGGGTGATATGCCTTCATCGAAAAGTAGCAACAAGAGACCACAAGCTTGTGTATTGGATTGCAGGTGGAATATCTGCCCTTTCTGTACTACTGGAGAAAAAATCCAGGCGTGCTGAACTTGCCTTGTATGTTCTTCCACGGGCTGGAGATTCACTGTGGTATATTTTAGTGAACCGCCACCTTCTTCCAAATATCAAGAACGCTGAGGTATTTCTTTTGCGTAATATGGCCTTCTTGCATTGGCTCAACGCACTCAATTCCAGATGCAGTTATCTATTTTGGTTGCTTGTGGTTTATGCTACCTGTTGATTTTCTGTTTGTGATCCATCTATTATTGGGAAAAGGTTGTGGCATGAATATGCTACACTAGATCAGCTGAGTGGCATCTCTTTTGAGTTGCACCTCTCCTTTTCTAATTTGCTATTGGTAAAATAGAATCACTCATCTTTATCCCAAAAAAAAAAAAAAAAAAAAGATTAATCATTTGCAACTGTAATTAAAAAACATATTTCACAGCTGGGGGACAAACAGGAGTCAGTTAATCGTTGGGGTTTGGGCTCTGCATGTGTGGGTTTGCACATGAAATTTATGTGTGCAGGGTTACCAATATGATTTTCCCAAGGGTTGCCTCAATTTTGTGTGTGCATGTGTGCAGAGATTAAAACCGTTACCTGACACAGATGTCTCCCATGAACATTGAATGCCGCAATTATTTTGCATGCATTCCTGAATCCCAATTCAAATTTATACGGCTGAATGAGATGCTGTTCTGGTGATTTTGCAGGTGGCCTTATTTTGTGCATGTATGGGAGGAGTTATGTACTACTTGGAACATGAACCAGACACTATGGCTCCATTCTTGAGAGGCCTGATCCGACGCTTCCTTGCTAGTAGAATCAGCAATCCAGGTCGCCCATCTAATCGGAGTACTTCTTACACATATTTACAGACTCTTGATGCCATCAAGAAGCCAAAATTACAGGAAAGCAGAGAGGCTGAAGCTTCCCCTTCTCAGAAATATAATCTTGAATCCATTCCAGGGCTTTAATCTTCTCTGGTGGCCCATTTGTTATCGTCCCCAGAACTGCCCCAACCATTCTTTTATGATTCAAATCATGCATTTGTTATAAAGCAGATGCTTTCTGCTCGACACGTTAGAATAAAATGCAAGGGGATTTATTATATTCGATGTCCCCGAGTCATGACCCACGTACACGTGTTGGGAGTAGATTATGGTTTGATCTAGACAGGCATTTTTGTCATTATAAGGGCGTTCCCATCAGAGAAGTTATACGGAGCAAAATAATTACAGTTGTAATGATTCTGGAAACGAATTTCCTGTTGTAAATAAAATACTCCTCCCTTTTGCTTTCTCTCTGTACTTGAACATTTGCTATAATCTCAACATTGTTGTTTTCCTAATTTTAACCTTTTCTAGCCATTGATTATCAGCAATTCAATTTGCTTGTTAATTTGGGGGTTATTCCATAGATGTTGGTCAACTTTACTTGTCTCTGTTACTTCCTGCAGAATATCTTTTGAAGGTGACCATTAAAAAAGGCTTAAGATTTTTTGTACTTCCACGGAATTCCTCCCTTTTTGTTTTGCAGCAACCACCTATACAGCTCTTATTTGCCAAAACCTCTCAGAGAAGACAGCTGCACTACACCACCATGGATCTATGGTTGGTTGAGGCATCTCTAACTGGAAATATAGAGTCCTTGCACCAACTGCTGAGAGAAAATCCACTAATCCTTGACAAAATGGCAGTATTTTCTTCAGAAAATCCTTTGCACATTGCTTCGATTCCCGGCCATGTTGACTTTGTTAAAGAGATGGTAAGACTAAAACCAGAATTTGCCAAAGAAATCAATCAAGAAGGCTTCAGTGCAGTGCACATGGCAGCTGCCTGTGGCTGTGTAGAGATTGTGCAGGAGCTGTTGAAAGTTGATCCCAGACTTAGCCGATTAGAAGGGAAAGAGAATGTAACTCCTCTTCATTGTGCAGCTATCAAAGGAAGGGCAGAGGTCATAAGTGTAATGCTTTCCAGTTGCCCTGATTGTATTGAAGATTTGACTGTTCAAAAAGAGACTGCTTTGCACCTTGCTATCAAGAACAACCAATTTGAAGCAGTAAAAGCACTGGTGGATTGGATCAGAGAAATGGACAAAGAAGACATCTTGAACGTGAAGGATGAGCTAGGTAATACAGCTCTGCACCTTGCAACCTGGAAAAAACAACGCCAGGCAAGTTAAGCTCTCCTCTCTTTTCCATTTCAGTTTTTGAATGGCACACCCATTTACTTTTATACATTAGTTGTTTCTTGCAAGTCTTTTGAGAGCATAATTTTTCAGTCTTGCAAGGTTGCGTAACAGTTTGTGACAAGCATAACCCACCAATTTATACTTTGAACTTTGGTCAGCCCCCAGATAAAGGATGTTTCACACTCCATGTACGAAACTTAAGGACAACTATCACCCCTTAAATGCTTCTCCCAGTGAGAAAGATCAAACATATAATGATTTTGGACAGCTCTTAGCTATTGTTTGAATTCTGTTTCAGTCAATTAGGTTATTTGATTTCGCGTTCAAATGTAATACTTGCTTCATCTAGTCAGTAACTTCTCTGATTCAGGTGTGTATATGGTAAGTCCTGCGAAACCCTACACGGCATGCGTTGTTCAAAAAATTATATTGTCATACATATACGTGTGGCCTGCTTTTGTCTATTCTAGGGTATTCATAAATGAGCTTATCTAGATATGTTAAAATAATCATCAGAGAAGACTTTGGGTTGCTCTGACTATGTAAGGTGAGTATTTTTTTATTTTTTTTTATGGGTACCAAATAACATAGCAAGATCAAGATGAGGCTGCATATTACCATTAGGGTAGGGACTTTTCTTTTCTTTTCGATTTATAGCAAACGGGTTGTTCTTTCATTTCCTGTCAGTGTTTGTAATGGCTAGAGTATCTGTTGGTTTCACTGCATAAAGGATATGGACCTGTCAACAAACTAAATAAAAAATATCCCTTCTAAATGAAATGAAAGCTTCCACTTTTTGCAGCAAACTTGTTAGATTGTTAGAATCCACCAGGAATCAATGCATAGCCTGAAAAAAGGTAGAGACCATCAATGAAGAAAACCAGAGGGCTAACTTATGGAATAAAGAACTAAAGACCATCTGGCCCTGCAGCTCAGTGAGCAGAGTGCAGACAATTTCAAGAGCATTTTCAACCAAAAAACCTTTGATTATATATTATTTCAGATGTAAAAAAAAGAAAAAAAAATTGTTCCTCATGTGCTCTGATGGAAAATGTCACACCAGCATGAAAACTAAGACTGAGAGAAGCTAATATGTTCTCATGATCACAACTCACAAGTTGCCTGTTTATGGTAGGAAGAGGTGAGAAACGCAACATGGCATAATACTGTGAAAGTCCACTAATCACTATAGCTATCGGAGCAAAATTTAGTGAAAGAACTGATAAGTAGATGAAAATTCCCTGCAGGTTATAGAATTGTTCCTTGGCAATGGCACTAATAACTCAGGCTTTCTGGAAGTGAATGCCAAAAATGATGCTAGCCTCACTGCCCTTGATGTGCTAGTGATTTTCCCAAGTGAGGCAGGTGACAGGGAAATTGCAGACATTCTTCGGGCTGCTGGAGCTATGAGAGCAAAAGATATTATCTGTTCTCCCGATTCTTCATTTCAATCTGTCAATCGAACCCCAGTAAGCATCCCTACTGCACCAGAGACACGTCGAGCATCACAAGCAAATAATCTGGTGGAGTACTTCAAATTCAAGAAGGGTAGAGATTCTCCAAGTGAAGCTCGGAGTGCACTGTTAGTTATTGCAGTTCTGGTTGCAACTGCAACATTTCAAGTTGGAGTTAATCCTCCAGGAAGTGTCTGGCAAGGTAGTGACAAAGCTGGTCCAAAGAACGGCACCAAATCCTTCATCAACAAAGCACACTATGCAGGGGAGTCAGTCATGGCCACGTCTGATCAAACTGCATTTTTTCTCTTTGTGCTTTTCAACTCAATAGGATTTTCTCTCTCTTTTCATGATCAACATCCTCACAAGCAGGTTCCCCTTGCAATTTGAGCTACAAATGTGTATGGTTGCAATGTATTTCACATATAACACAGCGTTAATAAACATTTAAACAGATCATGTCAAGCTCTATGTCGTCGTAACCACATCAATTTTTCCTGTAGTTACACCAACATTAGCCAAGTTCATAAGACTAAATGCAAAGAGGGTTAAAGATAGCGTTGTAGGCATGGTTCATAGATTCATTTGAATATTGAATGGTTGAAAATAATATGTAAAATCTGGATTCTTGTGTATGAATATTTAATCCTTATGATGTTCATCAGTTCCTGATCATGTAAGATTTGGCTTTGGTCAGTATAATCTTTTGCTTGTATAATTGATGGTAGCAATATGCTCTGTTCCCCTTAACTGTTTTCTATCTTCACGAGCTGTTTTTCCGAGGGTAAGTGTCAACACAAATGACATGATAAGAACAGAATGAGCTATATTTCTGGAAATTTAAATTGATCTTTGGGAATCATATTAAATAAGACAGTTGAATAAGGAAAGCTTGTCAAGCACAAGTTACTGTTTTAATTGGACAATCCATCATTTACAACACACATCATGCATGCTTGCTCTACATGATGAGTCCTATCTCACACCTCAACTATAGCTGCTGTTGAGCTTCCCCAATCCCCACCAGTGCTACGACTGTGAGCTGCTTTAATCGGTGTGAGGTTCTGTTTATATTCCAATATCTGTTATACTGGTTCTAAGGTGCTTCTAAGGAAGCAACTGTTCTCTCCACTGCTCTTATGGTTCTCTGGATTTTGGTTTGCAAATTTTTGAATAAAAGCCACTTAATTCTGTTATTGTTCCTATAGTTTGCTTAAGGTTTGAAAATAGTAATGTTTTGATGGAATGGAGGAGCAAGTAGTTGGCTTCCTCTCAACGTAAGGATTTTACTGCTTTCGCAGACTGCTTCTTTTGATCCTAAATTGTGGAGAGCATGAAATTCTAGATTCCATGATTCAAGCTGCCTCTCCTTATATGAATCTCAAATTGCAAGGTTGGAAAGTTTGAAACTGAAAATATGAACAGATACACACAAGGATTTATGTGCCAGATGGTATTAGCCATCAACTATTATGTTTCAATTTTTGTTCTCTTTATAGCCGGAGGCTGTAGTGTTGTTCTGATTTGTTTTCGAAAATGTATACACTGTTTATCTGGTGGTTGGTCAGGACTTGATAAGTAGGTACAGGACCTTTGCAGCTGTACATTGTAAATTCTGCTTATCAGGAAAAAAAAAAAAAAAAAAAAAAAAAGAAAACTCAGAAGGAAATGCTAACAGTATAAAACTAACATTGGTTGGTAATGTACTGAATCTCTCCCATAAATAAATGCCAGAAGCACTGAACTACATGTAACGATATAGTCATGGAGGAGCTTATAGGTTATTGATATTGATAATTATCAACATTTTCCAGCTCAAAGGTTTGGCATACGTTTGCTGTAAGTCATTGACCAAGCCCCTCTTATATTATATTGTCATAGAAAATCTTTGTTTTTTCAGTATTTTCTCTGTTCAAAGGCTCAAAATCTGTCTGTATGCACGTTGTTGATGTTCCCAACTACTTAAATACAGCAGCTAGTGAAATTTTTCAACTTGCTTCATTTCGTCAAAAACAGCTTCTTAATTTCAGAATGGATTTGAAGTTTCTGGAGGCATCACATAGTGGAAATATAGAGTGCTTGCTCCAATATCTGAGGGAGAATCCACTGATCCTCGACAAAATTGCAGTATTTCCTACAGAAAATCCGTTACACGTTGCTTCAACAGCTGGACATGTTGACTTTGTTAGAGAGATGGTAAGGCTGAAACCAGAGTTTTCCAGAGAGATAAATCAAGATGGTATGAGTCCTATGCACATGGCAGCAGCCATAGGCCAGATAGAGATTGTGAAGGAACTGATGAAAGTTGACCCAAGTCTATGCCGGTTAGAGGGAAAAGAGAAGATGACTCCTCTTCATTGTGCAGCTATTAAAGGAAGGGCTAAGGTAATAAGTGCAATGCTTTTCACTTGCCCTGATTGTATTGAAGATGTGACTGTTCAAAGAGAGACTGCTTTGCACCTTGCTGTCAAGAATAACCAATTTGAAGCAATTAAAACAATGGTGGTTTGGATTAGGGATACAAACAAGGAAGATATCTTGAACATGAAGGACGAGCTAGGAAATACAGTTCTGCACCTTGCAACCTGGAAACGACAACGCCAGGCAAGTCAGAAGTGTTGTCTCATTCTAAGTTCAGTACTTGAAAATCAATCTTTGATACATCCATTTCTTTCTATCTATGTTTCCTTCAAAACTTGTATGAGAGAGCATTTTTTCAGCCCTCCAAATGAAGACTGCACAAGAAGTTTGTGACTGGTCTCATCTTTTCAGCTAGCATACCCACTTTAATGGCAATTGATAATCTTGCTAATACACATAAGTTTATTAGGTCAACACCCATCTCCATAGTTTATTAATAAGGAGATATCAAACCCTTTTTTTTTATTTTGGTCTCAGCAACTTGGGCTATTCTGTAACATAGCTATTGTCTATTCCGAGATGTTTCATTCAAGTAAGGCCTTGAAGGTAAGTAAAAATAATCAATAGAAAGGAGACTTTAGCTATTAGAATATAGCAAGATCACTCTGAGACGGCATATTACCATTAGGACATGCTGACGCACAACTTAATCGGTAGCTCTTCCACAGTTCCACTCCTTCTAGGGGGAAGAAACATGTTAGCATTCAAACATTCAGATTCTAACCGAAAGAACACCCAAATCCTTCACTAAAAAAAAAAAAAGAAAAAAGGAAGCAACTTCAAGATCATTTATACATGTAGATTAGTAAAATGCAGACCAATGAGAAAATAAGGGTATTCGCTACAATTAAATCCTCTTAACTCAGCGTATTTCTTTCACCATCTCACCCCAGAGTTTAGTCTCGAACAAGATTTTTCAATATGAAAATTTTCCGAAAATTCCGCCGCTGTTATCTCCTTCTGACTACATGTGTAAAACTAAGCTGTTCCTTGTCCACTTTATTGGAAAATGTCTCATACGCATGGAAGGTGAAGAAAGACAAAAGCTAGTAAGCCCACATGTTCACAAGTTGTCTGTTGTTTTGGTAGGAGGGAAGAAACATCAATAAATCATAGTTTTGAGAAGGTTTATTTGGATTTCTATTCTAGTTTAGGAAAACTGGAAAAGAGAAAAGTAAAAGAAAATTTTTTTTTGCAGGTGATGGAATTGCTCCTTGACAATGGCAATGTTAGCTCCAGCATTATGCAAGTGAACGCCAAAAATGATACTGGTATCACTGCTCTTGATGTGCTAATGGCTTTCCCAAGCAAGGCAGGTGATAGGGAAATTGTAGATATCCTTCGAGTTGCTGGAGCTATGAGAGCAAAAGATATTACAGTCACTACAAATTCTTCTTCTGAATCTGTGAATCAAACCTTAATAGACATTCCTACTACACCAGAGACATGTCAAGCATCGCAAGGGAGTAATTTGCTGGAGTACTTCGGATTTAAGAAGGGTAGAGACTCTCCTGGCGAAGTTCGGACCGCACTGTTAGTAGTTGCAGTTCTGGTTGCAACTGCAACATACCAAGTTGGAGTTAACCCTCCAGGGGGTGTTTGGCAAGATAGTTACATACCAGATCGAAACAATAGCACCAAATCTGTCATCAGGAAAGCACATTTCGCTGGGGAGTCGGTCATGGCAACGTCAGATGCTATTGCATTTTGCATCTTTATGCTTTTTAACTCGATAGGATTTGCATTGTCTCTTTTCATGATCAGCATCCTCACAATCAAGTTCCCCTTGCAATTTGAGCTGCAATTATGTATAATTGCAATGTATACCACTTACAGCACTGCATTACCAACCCTTGCACCAGATGAGGTCAGGCTCTATGTCATCTTAGCTATAATAATTGCGTGTGTACTGATACCAGTTACGATCAAGTATGCAAGGCCGCATGCCAAGAGGGTTAAAGAGTATGTATCCGATGTCTTTCATGAAATCATTTGATAAAATAAGCAAATGATGGAGCTTTTATAATAACCTATAATGCGTTATCATCTTGATATTTTCAGTTTCTGGTGCATGTAAATATTAAGTTGTTAATATGTGGAATTGTATTTTTTTCATATATTTTAATTATATATATATACAAAATACAAAGACCTATATATGGTAAATAGATCACACATACAGCTGTATGTATATTCCTAATTTAAGAGAAAACTATACAAGAAATATACAAAATAGGAAATAGGAAAAACTAGAGCTCATTTCAGCTAACTCTCCCTCTCAAGTTGGGGCGTAGATATCACACATGCCCAACTTGGATAGCGAAGTATAGAATAGTCTACTAGTGACAACATGAGTCATTATGTCGACCAACGGATCCGAGTCGCTAGTATAAGGAATCTCTATTGTGCCAAAATCGAGATTATTTTTTATATAATTCCTGTCAAGTTCAACATGCTTAGTTCGATCATGTTGTAGTGGATTATTAGCAATCTCAATGGTCTGCTTTGTTATCACAAAAGAACACCATAGGTTTTTTTGGACCAAACCCGAATTCCTCTAAAAGAATTTTCAACCTAGAAAGTTCAATGATTGCATGATGCATAGCACAGTATTCGGCTTTTGCACTAGATAATGAAACAACATTTTGTTTTTTACTTCTCCAACTCACCAAGCTACCTCTAACAAATGAAAAATATCTAGAAGTAGATTTTCTATCCAATCTACTAATAGTAAAATCGGATTCCGTATAACCCATAACATTAAGATGTCCATGTTTGGAGAATAACACACCTTTACTTGAAGCTGATTTTAAATAAGCTAGAATTTTATTCACAACATTCATGTGTTGATCACTTGGATTGTGCATAAACTAACTCATAGCGTTGATCGCATATGCTAAATCCGGCCTTGTGTGAGTTAAATATATCAACTTTCCCACTATCATTTGATATCTCTCATTGTTTATTGGAATTTGATCAAGATAAATAGATAGGCCATGATTTACTTCGAGTAGGAGTATTTATAGGCTCATAGGCAGAGTTACTAGTTTCAGCTAGGAGATCCATAGTATGCTTTGGTTGGGAAAGAAACGAGACCTTACTTAGATCGAGAGACTTCAATGCTTAGGAAGTATTTAAGAAGTTCTAAATCATTTATCTTAAATTCTTTGGTCAAATAGCTTCGAAGTTTCTCAATCTCATCTCTCGTTATTATCTTTTATAATCATATCATCAACATAAACAAGAAGTAAGGTAATATCATTATGATCATGTTTATAGAATAAGGTATTATCTCGCCATAGCTTGCTTGAATCCATACTCCTTCATTGCATGACTTAATCTCCCAAACCATGCCCTTGGTGATTGTTTTAATCCATATAACGCCTTTTTAAGTTTACATACCTTTCCTTCTTCTAGTGTAAATCCTAGAGGTAGACTCATAAATACTTTCTCCGTCGGATCACCGTGAAGGAAAGCATTCTTCATATAAAACTATCGTAGAGGCCAGTCCAAATTAACCGTAATTGATAATATGACGCGAATATTATTCATCTTGACAACCGGTGCAAAAGTCTCTTCATAGTCAATACTATAGGTTTGGGTATAAGCTTTTACGACCAACCTACTCTTGTATCTTTCCACTATCCCATCTAGCTTGTATTTAACATTGTATACCCATCTACACTCCATAGTCTTCTTTCCTATTGGTAACTCGACCATTTCCCACATAGAATTCTTTTGGAAAGCCATCATTTCTTTTACCATTGCATCCTTCCACTTAGGATTTTCAAGGGCTTCTTGAAAATGACTAAGAATAGGTACGAAGACAATTCGAAGGGAAAATGTTAAGTTAGTTTTAGACAAACGGTGATAGGATATAAAATTAAAAATTAGGTATACAACATTGGAAGTTTTTGAGAAACCGAAATTTTCAATAGATTCAAAAGAATGAGTACATACCTCAATGTCAATCCTAGAAGATTCATCTGATGGCATGGTAGTATCATCAAGGGAGTTAGTAGAATTAGAAGGCGGAATAGTGATATCTTCCTTTCTCCTAGAATATCCCTTCGAAATAAACGAGTCGGTCTCTTAGGTCTCTCATCATCCGGTTCAATTTTATTTTCCTCTATAGACAAATCATCTAAAACTAAGGATTCCCTTTTTGCCTTAGTGTTATCTATACCCGAGGTCCATATATGCTTTTCCCCAACCATAGTTGTTCCTCTTTTTACTATCAATCTCCCACTCGAAGAGGAACCATAAATATATCGTCAAAAAAATAGGACTCATTTTCACAAAATTAAACATCCATTGACACATAATAGGTTTATGTAGGAAGATAAAAATATTTATATCCCTTTTGTGAATTAGAATATCCAAGGAAAACATATTTGATAGCACGAGGATCAAGTTTATCTTTATGAAGAGAATGAATATGAACATAGCATACACAACCAAAAACCTTAGGATAAATATTAAGAGTAGATGGAATAGGATGAAATCTAGATAACATCCTTAAAGGGGTTTGAAGAATCTTGGTAGGCATTCGATAGATAAGAAAAACAACGATCATGACAACTTCAGCTCAAAAACATTTTAGAACATGCATAGTAAAACTTAAGGCTCGAGCCACTTCAAGGAGATAACGATTCTTACGTTCTGTTATGCCATTCCGTTGGGGTGTATAAACACAATTGTTTGAAAAAGAATGCCATGTTATGTCATGAACTTGGCAAGAGATTGATTCACAAACTCATGACCATTGTTAGAATGAAAAACTTTAATTTTAGTGTTAAATTGGGTGAAAATCATGTTGTAAAAATGAGGAATAATATGAGAAACATCATTCTTAAATTTCATCAAATATACCCAACTAACCCTAGTACATTCATCAATAAAAGAGATAAAATATTTATGTCCCGAAGCGAGAAAGAGTGAAAGGACCTCACACATCAATATGAACAAATGAAAAAAAAAACTAGTGCTTTTATTAAAACGAGACTTTAAAAGTAACACGATGGTTTTTAGCATAAATGCATTGTTCACGCTTTCAACTAGAAACAAAAATTTTGAAAAATAATTGAGGAAACAATTGTTCTAAATAAGAGAAAGATGGATGTCCCAACCAATAATGCCAAAGCATAATTCTCTCTATCAGATTTTTCTCTCTTTGTTTGAAAGTCATGGGTAGATGCTTGCTATGTCTCGATTGTCCTCCAAATAATACGGACCATCCCTCTCCTTACCAATGCCAATCGTCATCTTCGTAAGATTGTTCTAAAACACATAATGAGTAGAATGAAAAATGATAGAACAATTAAGATTCTTTGTTATCTTGATAATGAAAAGAAGGTTGTTTGAAAGTTTAGGTGCAAGTAGAATAGAGGACATAGAAAATATCGAAGAAAGAGACACATTTCTTGCCCATATGGTCGGCATAGATTCCCCATTAACAACTCGTACAAACTTAACTAGTGGATATGTTAGAAAATCAAGGACGAGAAAAGTTACTAGTTATATGATTAGTGGTCCCCGAATCAATATTCTAGGTATTAGGACAAGAAGAAATAATAGATAAATCAAAAGCATCTTCTTGGAAAGATGTCCGAGATACATGAGAAGCGAGAAGATGGAGTAGTATCTATGACAAAAGAATTTGGAGTAGAACTTTTATTTTTCCTCTCGAGCTTGCTTGAGTTTATACCATTCCGGATAGCCATGCTTTTTCCAACAAACATCAACCGTATGTGTACTCTTATGGCAATGGGTGCAAAGCCGAGATTGCGAAGCTATAAAAATGCTCTTTTGGATAGTTAAAGTTAGAGCTTCGAGTGGATTTTTGCCCTCATGGTAACCTTAGGTTTGATATACATACCGTGTTGTGGCTAGTGTTTTAGGGAAGAAAGGAGCAAGGGTGGCTAGTGGCTTTTAAGAAGAAGAAAGGAGCGATTGCGAGTTAGGGTTTTGAAAAATTATATGACAAGGCTCGATACCAAGTTGTTAATATGCGAAATTGTCTTTCTTTCATATATTTTAATGATATATACATAAGATACAAGGACCTATATATGGTAAATAGATTACACATGCAGTTGTGTGTATATTTCTAATTTAAGAGGAAACTATACAAAATAGAAAATAGAAAAAACTACGACTCATTCCAACTAACTCGTTCGATAAATAAAAGTTTTGCTTGTCCGAGCGTTGAGCAATAGTGGCTACGACCTACATGCATGCTAAGTACTTTTACTTAATAAAAGAGAACTGAAGAAGAAATGCGGGAAGAATAAGAAGAAGAAGAAGACTAGAGAAGAGAATTTGGAATTGATTTCTATTTTATGACTCAAGAATGAATAATCCCCTGTTCCTTTTTATCTCTTTCGTGTATATGGTATTACTAATCGATTATCTAACAATACTGATAAAATAAAATAAAAAATAAAAAGAAAACTCAATAAAGTGAGGCATTATAGGTTTTTTTCTTTTTTCTTTGTTCTTTTTCTCTTTTTCAAAAAGAGAAGCTTTTAGCATTAGTATTGGGAAAGGAAGTAAAAAAAAAGGCAAGGTAAAAACTAATCATAGAACTAAAAAAAACATAAATACAAACCTTATGGTAAGCTCATAAACTTATTTAGTATTGGGAAAAGAATCTATAACTAGATTTTAGAAAAAAAAAATAATAGAACTAAAAAAATAAACCAACCAAAATTAGATCTACAGGCTATTGATAGGAGCAGATATGTAATTTTTAATATCATATTTTTAATTCCAATATTTCCAGTTCAAACACGCATGCAAGCAAGGATATAATATTAGTTTTTTTTCATTTATTCTTCACATTATAGACCGACCGTAATGATTGCTATCATGCCATATGGTTCATGTAGTCATCATCTGAGGCACCTGAAAGCAATATCCATTCCCAGTTTCCCACTTTTCCACACAAGACTGGCTCACAATAACCTTCACTAGTGAAGGACTCATTGACTGAATAAAGTAATTTAATTTGTTGTTTTCTGCTGGTGTAATCGTATGAAGACCTTGATAAAATAAAATAATTTCTTTCAAAAAGAAAAATGAAAAAGGCATGGATTTCTTCTTCCATAAGAAATCTTCTTCAAAGCTTATTTATAGTCTCACCATGATTTTTCTTTAAAAAAAAACCTCTAGCAAAGACAATCTCTTTCCTTCCTTGCTAAGGTACTCACTACACCATGCGATGGATGCAAGGCTGTTTGAGGCTGCTCAAGGAGGAAACATCGAATATTTACAGCAGTTGCTGACAGAAAATCCATTTATTCTCAACATCGCACTTTTGTCTGATGAGAATCCCTTGAACATTGCTGCTGACATGGGGCATGTTGACTTTGTGAAGGAGATTATAAGGTTAAAACCAGTTTTCGCCAGAGAGGTAAATCAAGAAGGCTTTAGTCCTATGCATATAGCAGCAGCTAATGGCCATGTCGAGCTTGTGAAGGAGCTAATGAAAGTTGACATCAAACTCTGCCGGTTAGAGGGAAGATAGAAAATGACTCCTTTTCACCATGCAACTATCAGAGGGAGGGCTGAGGTGGTCAGCGCAATGCTTTTAGATTGTCCTGATTGTATCGAAGATGAGACTGATCAAAGGGAAAATGCTTTGCACCTTGTTGTCAAGAATAACAGATTTGAAGCAATAAAGATATTGATGGGTTGGATCAGAGAAACGAACAAGGAATACTTGCTGAACATGAAGGATGAGCAAAGGAATACAGTGTTGCACCTAGCAAGCTGGAACAAATAACGGCAGGTAAATTCTTGTCCTGTATATATAATATATCCTTTCTCCTTTTTACTTCCCAGTACTTACTAGCTCATATGGCTGGTAAGGTTTTCTATTCCAACTAGTTACACTTGCACATTTGATCTCTAGCTAAACTTAGTCTCAAAATCCTAGGTGATGCAGAAGAACAGAAAGCCTTCATTTCCTTTGTTTATTTTCACATATAGATCAAGGATAGACGTCCACTAACCTTATGTTTTTGTGATGCTTTCTAGGGTGGAAGAGCAATCAAGTATTGACTCTGACAGGGCCATTAGGCTATTATTCAAACATTTGTATTAAAGTCAAGTTTCTTTCCTAGACTAAGAAAGATCAAAACAGGATAATTGAACTACTAGTGTCCATTTCTTGATGTTTCTTCAAATCTAGACCTGTGAAATAATTGGAATAATCATCAAACAAGATTTTAGATGGCTCATATTTACATTTTGTTCAGGTGGAATCTTTTGAGTTTATACTGTTGGCAGAAAGATTAGCACCAACCCTCTCAGTAAGGGGAATGTATGTTTTCATTGTTTGGTCACACCAGAAAGAATTCCACCTATATTTATGTATGTATGTGAGTGTGTGTATATATATATATAAAGCTCATTCCATTTTAAACAGACAACGGTACCCTGTAGAAGCTAGTCCCAATGATGCAGTGGAGAAGCTACCTTACTAATGCTGAGGCTGAAACTTTCTGAACAGACCAAGCAAACACATATGACGTAGTAGAGAAGTCCCAGACCAGGAAAACAATATTCTCATTCCACATTCCTATTAGTCTGATCACCAATTACCATAACTCTATGTTTGTTCTGCAACTGAGGTGGTCCAGATCTTGCCACCATCAATTTTAGGACTTCGGTTCTTGGGGATTGGGAGTTACAACACTTCATCTAGAGAACGTGGAGTTTTGGTTCCAAGTTACAAGTAGTTATGCATCACATTTTCTCTTTCGGCTTACGAGACTTAAACCCGAGTCGTGCAAGAGTTGAGGATGGCCAACATGCCAATTAAGCCAGCTTACTGGCAATTGTCCATGAACCCTGCAAATAGCCATCCGACTTAGAAACTGAAGTAACTAGATTATTGCCTTAACATTTAGCTGTTTCAGAAATATGCAAAATAAGAGAAGTTATCCTTGCAGGTGATAAAAATGTTACTTGTCACTGAAACCATAAGTTCAGGCTCGTTGGAAGTGAATGCCATCAACCATAGTGGCCTCATTGCCCTAGACGTGGTACGGATTTTCCCAAGTGAAGCAGGGGATGGAGAAATTGTTAAGATCCTTCAAAGTGCTGGAGCAATGAGAGCAAGAGATATTATACAGTCGACCATTCCCAGCAACCAAACCTCTACTGACAACTCTTCAATGCCAGAGAGATGCCAATCGAACCTAAATAATTTGGTGGAATACTTCAAGTTTAAAAAGGGAAGGGATTCACCTAGCGAGGCACGCGGTACACTACTAGTTATAGCTGTTTTGGTTGCAACAGCAACATTCCAGGTTGGAATCAACCCTCCTGGAGGTGTTTGGCAAGATACAAACATACCTGACCAGAAAAATAGTACCAGCAGTGACAATGCACATATTGCAAGTCGGTCCATTTTGACTAGCACAAACACAGTTAATTTTATGTTGTTCGTGTTTTTCAACTCAGTAGGGTTTTCCATGTCTCTTCACATGATCTATGTCCTCACAAGTAAATTTCCCTTGCAATTTGAGATTCAAATATGTCTGCTTGCTATGTATTTTTCTTATGGCACCGCTTTACTAAGCATTGTGCCATCCAACCTCTATTTATGTGTCATGTTAACCACAACAATATTGCCTTCAAGTGTGTCCATTTTAGCCCGATCAGTACGCCCACTTGCGAGAATGCTCAGAAATTTTTTCAAAGACTTCACGCATAGAATCGTTTGAAAGTGGATGGGCGCAACATAATTTGTCAGAGCTAAAGGTTTGAATATGATTGTCTTGCTCATGTCATCACATTAGCTACAGCCTAGCCGGGGAGCAGGACTGTAGGGCAGAGAGCCAAGAGTATCTTTTCACAGGGTAAGAAGCTGCTGGCCAGGTATCTTGGCAGCAAATAAGACCAATGTATAGGACCTGTTTGGTGATCGAATATCTTTTCTTAGTTAAGGTTTTTACGACAACTCACGCTTTTAAGAAAAGGACATGGCAACTTAAGCTTTTGAGAGAGATGATTTCTCTCTCTTTCTTTTTGTTTTTTTCCATATGTGTATATTGTTGTAGTCCTTCTTGCTGCCTCTCTTCTTATTATTTATATATGGGGGCATCCTTGTCCTCCAAAGACAAGAAGTTGCCTTATGTATAGGCTTATTTGATTTTATCTTTTTAAATCATGAGCCTTATCAAATAGGACTCAAGTTTATCCTTCCATCAAAATATATTACGGACTTTTAAATTAAGCCTATTAGCTCAAATTCTTTTGACCTAATTAATTATAAATTAATTTTCATTATCTAAATAAAATGGATCAGATATTTTTAGGAACCCTCATTAAAAAGTAATTTTCTAAATTATCCTTAAACCTAAATTACGAAACTAATTTCTTTTTTAGGCAACTAACTTTCAAATTAAAAAATTGATTTCTAAAATCGAAAAATTTTCATTTTAGAAAAATTTTTCCAAAACAGAAACTTTCTATTTTCAAAAACTTTTCCCAAAATAGAAACTTTCAATACTAGAAAACTTTTCCAAAATTTTTGCTTCTCTTTTATCATATGAATGTTTAAACTTATACTTGTGACTCAATAGGATCTAGATATGTTGACAATGTATCAATAATAAAAGACACCTCTTTTATCTCTTAATACGTAAATCAAGATTGGCATATAGTAAGACATCATGACTACCCAATTATCTAAGATGATTAATTAATCTACATGTACCTTTTACGAGCATGATTACCATATAATTCGATACTCATTTCAATTTATCATAGTGTGATCTTGAACTTGGTTTATAGTCCGTTGGATTATGATCACATAAGTTTTTTTCGATTCTCAAATATCTTAGCTCTAAAGTAAACCAACTAATAGGTATACTCTCGTTACGTTCATAGATTTCTTGAGTAGACATTTATTGAAGTACAATGTGATAACTCATTTAGTAAATAAGGAATGACATGTCCTATCTTTCTTAGTGCACCCAACTAATTGCCAACGTTTATAGATTGCAACATGATAATATTATAGTCGAGAAGTAGTTTATTGTCTTCATATAGAACAACAAAGACTACTAAATTCCTACTAACCCTATATATATATATATATAAAAGGTTCATCTCTCGTTTTTGTGAAAAATCAAATTCTTTGATCGTTTCATCAAAACATCAATTTTAATTCCTAGAGGCATGCTCAAGTCCATAAATGGACTTTAGCAATTTGTAAAATCTTATTTGTATATTCTTTGGTGATAAAACCATCGGGGTATGTCATCTACACATCCTTATTCATTGTTCATATGTACGAGTCAATGTCTAACGTTGCTTTTCTATAATATTAGCTTCGTAATCCTATATAAGATACATATAACCATGTGTTGAGACACGAAGATCATATCTTTTTTACTCTTAACGAATTTGTTTTAGACCTACAAAGTTCTTGTGTATCGGTTTACAAGACAATTATGATGCTTTATAAAATATCTACTTGGGGTTCCACTAGTAAAGTGTCAATTTATGAGTCTACTCAACTCTTATTCAATTCAAATTTCCTCTCACTATTTCTAGCATCTATAAATTCCTTCCTAAGAAACACAATATGCCTACTCATGAACAACACTTTGTTCTAGTAGTTGAAAAATTAATATCCATTTCTTTCTTTTAGATATCCCATAAATTTACGCTTCTTTGATTTGGGCTCTAGCTTGTCTTCCTTTAAACATTTGGCATATATTTTATAGCTTGAAATCTTAAAAAAAAAAAAAAAAAAAAAGAAGATAAATTCACTTTCTTTTCTTTTCATATCTCGGATGAAGTCCGATCAACATACTTTGTTGGAATCCTATTCAAGGTAAAGGTTGCAATAAGGAGTGCATATCCTAAAAAAAAAGGATATGAGTTCAACCCATCATGGACCGAACCATGTCTAACAGGTGGTATCTATTGATAGAGAATCTCATTCCTTTCTAAGTGATATAAAAACTCAATGTTGTATCATCCACCTTGTACAACTCGCTACTTTGCCAAGAAATTTCAAGTGGAAGAAGCTCTATCATATCAAAAATGATATAAAGCAACTCAAGGCATTTGAAGTAGGAGATTTGATTACTTGCACTCGGTATACCTATATTTTTTGTGCTATTTTGCTTTAGTGATGAAATTGTGATGAAATAATAACGCCAATAAAAGGCTTATCGCTATTTTTTTTAGCGATAGAAACTAAATTTCATCACTAATTAGCGACAAACATGTTATCGCTATGTTGAAGTATTTCCACCACAAATTCGATGTAAACGAGTCATTTTGTAATTATGAAATTTGTCATAAAACCGTCAATAAGTTGTTAGATTTCGTCACTTTATAGATATAGAAATCGATCGGAGAATTTAGTTGCTAAAAGTAGTCACTAATCCATAGCTTGGTGTCGTCAAATTGCTAATGAATTTTATTATCCATTGCCAAATTGTCGACATATTTTATTATCCCTCTCTAATTTTTGACGGATTTTATTGTCCTTCGCTAATTTACGTTGCTAATAAATTAATTTAATACTTATTTTTTGTCGTTGGTCGGTCGATGATCCATCACTAATGAAGAATTTTTTTTCATTAATAGCCGTTTAATGTTTAATTGTACTAGTTACTAAATTGAATCCCACTCATCCTCGAGAATATGGCGGTGTTTCGTAGAAAATATGTGAACACATTGTTTAGAGCTTCAATGCTTGCTTGAGAATTTGGTTTTCAAGATTTTGTACATAAACTACTTGATGGTTTCAGCATGGTATGAATAGAACCTCGCATGGATTTACTTGCTACTTTATAGCTGCATTAGTTTCTAATTAATTTGTTTTCGAAGTTCTACATCATACTTTATCCTGCAGATTGGTTGTGGCTTAATGAATTCGATGAAAGACCTTGTAGCAAGATTGGTTGCTACGTTATTTCAAATTATTCTTCTTTTATATATATAAGGAAATGCCGACAAGTGACGAGTATCAAACTACGGTTGGCCAATGATGATCAAAATCTTTCTTTCCTTAGAAGGAAATGGTACCGATAGTAAATACACTTATAAGACATTATGGTGGTAATCAAGTATCTTATATAAAAACATTGAGGCTCGATAATCCAAAGGCCTTACCAACTCGTCAAAAAAAAAAAAAAAAGACTTCAAAAATTTTAATTTAATAATCATGAATTATTTTTTTATAAATAATAGATTCATCTTACCATTATTTTAGAATTGACATGACATTATATAAAAGTCACGTGATAGTCTTAAAAAGTGATATATGTTCCATCTTCTTACATGTGTCATGTTTAAAATTTAAATTAGTACGACATGTGTTATTTTTTATAAGACTTGTCATGGGACACTACATGTGGTTAGCGTTGAAAAACATGTTGAAAAAACTTATTATTTATCAAAACTAATTCATGACAATCAAATTAAAAAATTTAAACGAGTAAAAACCTACCTCAATTTGACTAAAAGTTTATGATGTTTTTGGATCATTTAGCCAAACATTGATAATCATCAACATTTATTACTTGAAATATTCAACAAAACATATTGTACATGGATTTTCTTATATATATACACTTTTTTAAAGCTTTTATGAATTTTTTATTTGTTTTGATTCCAATTTTATTATCTTATCTTATTTTAATTATTGAAATTTTGATCATGTGATTTTTGACCATGCATGCTACAATTTTTTTTCTTTTCCATGTTATTCCTTACATTATATTTTTATTTCGATCATTTAAAGTTTAAAATTATTCTTGTTATGCTTATTTTTAATGTTGTATTTTATTTTTTTCTTAAAATATTTCATTGAATTATTGAAAATAGCCTCTTTGATTTGATTTTAATACATTATTAGATTAAGTTAGCATGTCTATTTATTTAAATAATTTTTTCTATCTTGTGAGTAAATAATCTTTTTTTTTTAGGAAAAATTAGTTATATTTAGGAGTGTAAGTGGAAATTTTTTATAATTTTTCATATCAAATATGAATATGAAAAAATAACAAAATCAAAGACGTAAAAATAACTAAATTAAACTTTTTATTCTAGATGAAAATAATGTAATCTCCAAAATTGTACTATTTCTAAGCCTCCCTTTTGGCTTTTAGCTAAAATTCTCTTTTTGTTTTAGTCCCTATTATGTGTGATTTTTTCTCCTATCTTTTGGATAATGGGTTTTTCACTTTTTCTGTTCATACATTTTTTTTTAATTTTTAGTGAAAATTTTCTTTCTATCTTGGTCTATGTTTTGCAATATTTATTTTTTTATCATTAAAATTTTATTATTTTGAATGTATATAAAATCTCTATCATTTTGTGTTGCATTAAACTAAAATAGAGTTTTTTTTTAGGTTTGTTCGTTTATCTCAACATAATATTTCTTCTTTTTTTTAAAATCTAGTAATATCTAAAAAGTTTGATCATATTAAGATAAATAAACTATAAATAAAAAATAAATAGTGATATCCATCCAATAGTAATAAAATTCCACCTCGGGTATTTATGTTATCAAAGCTAATTTTTCTATTTCTAATCCCACCTCATGGGTATATGATACTATATATGATGCTTACATTTTTTAAATGTAAAGGAGCTTAGAAAAGGATGGAAGATAGCTTCAAGGAAGTATGACCTACACGACTACAATGGATCAAGAGTTGGATTATTAGTTATAGGCATTCATAAGCTAGCACTACCATGTAGGCTTGTGCTAAGGCTCAATGATTTTGATTTTGATTATTATTATTATTCCTAGTATAGACTAAGGATATTATTTCTATTTCTTATTTGGAACAAGTTTTTCGTTTTATTCAAGAATAATTGTTATTTTTTAGAGACGTAGTTTGTACATAGAAATGTTTTGATTGACAATAATTTTATGTTTTGAACATAACTCCCATATATGTAATGTTACTACTTTTTTAACATAATCAGAAAAGCAATAAATCCAATCTAATCGTGCAATAAAGGGTAAGAAAGTATCGTTCCCACGAGAAATTAAATTACACTACTAAAATTATCTAACTCAAAATAAGTTGAATTAATCAAAATAATTAAAAGAATTAAATTAAAACTCTATTCTAAAGTTGTAGGATTGAAAATTACTAATGAGATGATATGAAAGTAGCTAGGAATAGATTCATTTAATCCTCACTTATGCAATTAACTATATTACCTCAACTCACAAACTACTTTGAGGTCTATCTTAATATATTTGACGACGGAATTCCTCGAACAAGTTAATAAGCTATCTCTAGTCGGATTAACCCTATTCTTCACCTAACAAATCATCCATATTTCTATGTGACTTAAATTAAGATATAAATGCATTACAATTAATGGAATCCTCTAATGTAAAATAAGCATGCCATCACGCACTTCTTTTTTCCATTATCGCACTAGAACTAGTTGTCTTTTGATTAATAGTAAACTAGTGATTTATATTGTTTTGATCTAACGCATACAATTCCATTCTCGGGCTCAAGCACATGTCATTAAATCAATAAGAGGTGATCGATCTTTTAAAGCATTAAATGTAGTAATATAAATTCATCATACATCAAGAATCAAGTTTTGAGTTGAGAAAAATAATTAATTACATAGAATAAGAATTAAAATCCTCCATCCCTAACTTAACAATTTATTTCTCCATCAAGAAATTTATTGGATCTAAAAATAAAATATCCCATCGATAATCCATCAAAGTAATAATTAAAGAAAATTCAATTAGTTGTCTAATGAATCTGTATTTTTTTCTTCCAATTGCCGCTCCAATTTTCTTCTTTTCTCCGGCCGTCCAAAATCCCCCTCTGCAGGTGCAAGTGCCAAGCCTTATATACAAATTTTTTTTTACTATCGTGCAAAACTCTTTTTTTCTTTTTAATGCCGTGCAACTCTGCTTACTTTGCTTATTTTTCTCTCTCTGTCGTCCTCCAGGTCCTTCACTATGCCTATTACTCTTTCTTTTACTGCCATAGACTCCTTTTCTAGTCCACCACGTCACTTTCCTTTTAGTTTTACATTGCCATGCTTTAAGTCAACCTTATCATGCTTATCGCCTTTTCCTTTATACTACAATCTCCTTCTTTTTTGTCAAGCACGTAAGTCTCCTCCGAACGTGATGAGTTGATTTTTTTAAGGTGTCTAAGTCAAATACTTTTTTCTTCTTTACTCTTTAATCCTTACTTTTGCTTTTTACTTTCATTTCAGTCTTTGTTTTTGCTTTACTTCTTAGTCTTCTCTTTAATCTTTATACCTACAAATTCAAAGCATATGAGGATTAATTTATATCAAATAAAACATAAATCATATGCATAATTAACGAATTCAAGCTCCATGTTTACATAAAATATATGTATAAATTATACTTATCATGTAACATAAATGCTAAAATACTCAAATGATCTAAACAATCTACATTTGTGGTATTGTCAAATTAGTCATATAAACAAGAATTTAATATCCAATCTAATTATAAATGGATACATAGAATAATTTGATGATGTCCGATGAATCTTGTTCGCTTGGCAAAAAGAAATGAATCTCCTTTTCGTAGAAAATGAGAAAATGCTAATAATTAGTTAGGCCTTACATATGATATGTATTTAGGCCAATGTTCGCCAATGTTAAAGGAGAACATGATTATTTCATAGCCTTTACTCGATAATAGATCACTTTTTGGTTATAAGACCCAAGTCCAAAGCATTTAAAAAATTCAAAGAATTTAAACTTAAAGTCAAGTAATGAACTAGCAAAAGTATTAAGCATTTCGATTAGATCAAGTCGACGAGTACTTAACCATTAAATTTTTAGATCACTTAGAAGATAATGAGATTCTCTATCAATAGATATCACATGTTAGACATGGTCCGATCCATGATGAGTCGAATTAACATCCCTATTTTATTCAAAGGTAAACACTCGTCATTGCAACCTCTACCTTGAATAGGGTTCCATTTAAGTCTATTTGATTAGACTTCAAATGAGATATGGAAAGGAAAGAAAGTGAATTTATCTTTTTTTAACATTTGAGGCTATAAAACATATGTCAAACGGTTTTGAAAAGACCAATAAAAGTCTAAATCAATAAAGTGAAAATTTGTGAAATATAAAAAAAAAAAAAAGAATGATATCATTGTCCTACCACAAAAACAAAGTATTATTCGTAACTAGGTATGTTATATTCTTTAGGAAGGAATTTTGTTACTATTTGTGGCATTATTTTACTAGTCAATTGTTATACATGTTTGTAATAAAATGTCTTATTGTGTTACGCAATATTCAATTAGTAAAAATTCTGTATAGAATGCTTTTTAATATAGTCAATGTTTGGTCTATATTTTTTTTAATTATTATTGTTTGATAAAAAGTCAATCTCATATTCATTATTTTTTTATTTCTATAAAATAGATGTAAAAAAAATTGAAATAATTCATTTCTATGTTATTTTAAATTGTTTTATTACTATCATTATATGAATTCATAAAACTCTTTATTTTATATCGTTGAATACCTAAGAACACTATGTGGCACATCCCCTAGCAATGCGCGGAATGCATGCCCTTCTTTGCGAGCGGTGGATTTTGATTCCCCTAACAATATAGCAATATTATTTTCATATGGAGTTACGTGATTTGACCAATGCTCACTCACATTCACTTTGACCATTGTAGAATTTCCACCAACTATCTCTAGATCTCTCTTTTCTTCATACTATCTCTTGGGATTAGTTATTCTTAAAACTCTTATTACTAGTTTCGTATTCAAATAGTTGACACGTCCCACCAGTGCTAAGATGATTTTATTTTTTAATTATTATTTTAAAATGTATTCTAAAAGAAGCATATTGGTATCAAATAACCAAAACCAATTATGAAAATAATTCAATAAGATAAATTATTAAAATGAAATTATCATTAATTTACTACATATGTCTTTATTTAATTATCCAAAAATTAATAATATCTTTAATTGTCTTGTTATTTTTTAATGGAGGTATTTTTTTATAATCAAATGATAATAATATGAAATGTTAATTTATTTTTTCAATTAATTAAACAAAAATCATTAAATTAAATAATTATTTAAATTATTTATTAAATGTCCTTATAAATTTAATTTTGTTATTAATTTGTATATTTAATAGCATAAACTATATTATAAATCAAGTAATTCTATATCTTTTTTTGGTTAAAAGAAGGAATATAATCCAATATTTGATTGTGCTTTTGATAAAATATATGCAATAAAGAATGTAACAAAGCCAAAAACATAAAAGAACTAAAATATTTTTAATACACAAGAAACAATTAACAAAATACAAAATCAACTTTTGAAAAGAAAATCAAAATTCAATAAAATATTGATAGAATCTAGAGGAACCAGATTAATTCATGAAATTCCTAAAATCCAAAATTTTAAAAATTTTGCGTTCATTTGTTTTGTGGAACACTTAAATTCTTTATTTATTGTTTACACCTTGTATGTTTGTAATAAAGTGTTTAACTATAGTTTGGAAAGCTAGTTAACAAAATTCACTTTCCAATATAAAGAAAAACTAAGTAGGCGCGTCAAGAGTGAGAAAGTAGAGAGAGACGCTCTCATTTAATGGAGCTCTTTCCCTCGGATCCGGTCGGCGCCATTGCTGGAATTTTTTCCTTGTAACCCCTCGTGATTCTTCCCCGCTGACCCTCTCCATCCCCTCATTACGATTCTTGCTCACCTTCTCTTCTCTCTTCACCCGTTTTTCCTTTCTCCCCCGTCCCTTTCTCTTCTCTCTCCTCGTTTCTTTCTCTTTCCATCCTCTTTCTCTAAGGTCTTATAACCAAGAAAAAGAAGAAATGCGGATCCAAGCTGCAGGAACGAATAGCCACTAGATGAACCGGTGATAGCCCTTGCTATGCCGATGGATCCTTTTCCACCGCCATTCATTGCGGACATAGTTCATTGAGTTGAATCTACCAAATATGTGACTACCGGGTCCAAATTAGCTGCCTGACCTACTCCAATCGATGATGTGGAAGTTGAATATCGCTTTAGTGAAGAGGAATCGGACTACGAAGATGACGGTTTGAAAGATTCGGATACGAGTGAAAATTTGGGTTCTCGCCCAAAATTTTCAAAATCTCCCTTTCCCGTGCAACCGGTTACCGAGACCAAAACTCTCGTTGCTCCCGCTCGGCCTCTTCCCTAGTAGAATGGTGGTTACATTTCGGACGAGTATGACCGACGAATGGGTCTCGAGAAGCTCGCCTCTCCCCATCCGGCTCGGTTCAACCTTCCACCGAGTGACCGCCCCGACCACCCAAATTGTGATGCCCCAGACTCCATTGCCTATTACCTAACAAACGTGATCGACGCGACACACTTGTTGGGACTAAGTCCCCTACTTCCTCTAGCATACATAACAAAATATATAGATAACTAAACCATGGGCAACGTATGATACAATTTACAAACATTATTACGGATAGTTCTATAATTTACAAAATACTCAAAATGCCTAAAAATTTACAAATTAGGCCCGTACCCCTTTTTAATGACACAAAAGATATTTCTATTTTTATGAGTGACACATGAGCCTCCTTTAGCGAGAACCAATAGCATCCTCGATCGAGCTTAACTTTGCCCTTGCCCGAACAACGCACAAATACAATAGCGAGAATGAACCAAAGCTTAGTAAGTAGGGTGATACATGTGATATGCAATGCTATTCGTTTCTCACATTTTCATCCATTTTAATCGGGTACCTTAGGTATCCGCAAGTCCATGCGTTCTATCTCTCGGTGATCGTGTGATCACATACCGCTCTATTACCCTCTCTCGGTGATCTCAATATCACCTACTACTTGTAACGAAATTATCCCTCGTTGTAGCATACGGTTAACGGAATTACCCTCACTTAACGGTTTTAGTAAATGGAGCTCGCACTGTGGATTCCTTGCTATTACCCATTCCACTCAATATCGATTACCAAACCGTGTCATTTCATGACTCAATGATTTTTCTCAATTTATTCCACCCCCAATGCACATGATGCATATGATGACATGTTTAATCATATTCAACCAAACTCGGGTACTAACCCTTCTTTCTCAAGCCATACTCACGATTCAACCAACACTCGAGATTCACCCATCGCTCACATACCAATCATGGTACTCATAGCGGGAACACAACCTCCGCTCATTAATATTGTTCATTAGTTTCATTAATATTTAAAAGAAGGTCCAAATCTTTTCCTTATTTATTCTCTAAAAGAATAAATTTTCGTTAGAATTTTCAAATCCCTTTTATTTCTATCTAAGTTCACTTATTTTAGTCCAAGCCCATTTCTTTTAGTCTAAGCCCATCTACTTTAAAACCAAGCCTTTTGATTTTAGTCCAAGTCCATTTAATTTATTCCAGGCCCATTAACTTTATCCAAGTTTATTAACTTAATCCTAAGTCCATCGACTTTATCCAATTCCATTTTATTTTATCTACATCCATTAATTTTGTCCAAGTCTAATTATTGGGTTTTAGGGTTTACTACCGGGCAACCTCTAATCCAGTAAGTAATTTACCAACTTTTGAAAATAATAAAATCTTACCCATTTTATTTTAGACACTAAACATATTGATTTATAACATATCTAAAAATTAGGTCGAAATACCAAGTACACAATTTATTATAAAATTTTGAAACCTAGGGAGCAATATGCCCAATAGTAGTTTGTCTAGAGCTATCCGTATTAAATTGGGTATAACTCTTTGTAAATGAATCCAATGACCAAGAAAATATAAGGAAAGTTAGTTGAAACATAGATGAATAACTTTTATTCTTTAAGTTTCACCCAGAAATCGACCTAAAGTCATTGAACATGCACCCCAAATTTCGGACAGAATTTACTCCTCATCAACACTAATTTATTAGTTCTTTCCAAACCAACTTTAAACATGTTTTAGTTCGTTTACATTTAGTCCAAGTCCAATCCAACCCACCAAAACAACATATAACACCCATTTTCTTTACTTAAATATCTCATCTAATCTTATCCCATTTAATGCTCATTACAAGTGTCAAGAGCTTGTGGTGAAATATAAGGTAAATGTGGCTGAAATTAATGAAAGGATGGGTTTAAATTTCAAGGAGGAAGGGGTCATGGTCAATGGAAATTTGTAGAAAGTGGGGGCCAAAATGTGATTAAAGGAGGGTAATCAAATTAACTACATTTTCAGAATTCCTTCCAAAATTTCGATAATTAGCACTTTCTTTTCTCTAATTTATACTTATTACATATAAAAGAAAATTTCTAACTAATTTACCCAAAGTTTTTCTCCCTTAAATATTGACGTACACCAATTTATCCCAACATTCACGTACATAAACACCAAATATATATAAGCACGTACATAAACACCAAATACGAACATACCATAAAATTATTAAAAAGCCATGTAAATCACATCCACATATATTGTACCTATCACCATTCACGTACGAATATTCCGAGTACGTATTTTTATATGGTTATAGATTTTCATGTACGTAAAATCGATACTTAGTATATATATACGAATATAAATATCTCGATATGTACACTTATACGGTTATGGATTTTACAAGGGTTACACACATACTATCGCCCTGGTACTTCTCGACCCTCTACTGAAAAATGGAGAGACTTGTTTGCTAATAATCTTAGTCCTAAATTGTGCCCTAAGCTCACCCATTTTATCGCTATCACCGAAAGTAAAATCTATATCTTGCTTGATGATGACTTGTAATATGAAATGTGGAAAAGTTGTATGATTGGGTATGTTATTAGGAAATCTTTGGGTTTTAGGGCCCTAAATGGGATTATTGTTAGTACATGAAAGTGTCCACCTACACTCTCCATTCATGACTCGAGTTGGCTTGTTTATAAATTTACCTTGGAAGAGGCCAAATCATCGGTGTTGAATGGGGGTCCATACTTGATATTTGGTCGACCTTTACTGCTCGTGACCCATGTCGGAGTTCTTTGATTTTTCACACAAGGAAATGTTACAAGTGCCGGTTTGGGTGAAGCTTTCTAACCTCCCCCTTAAATGCTTGGTCTCTCTTATGCCTCTCAAAAGTGGCCAACTTGCTTGGCAAACCAATCTAGTATGATTAGCTCACGGCCTTTATGGAACGGATTTCCTATGCTCGGGTTTTGGTCGAGATAAACATCATGGAGGAGCTACCAAGAATAGTCAAGATTGGGCTACCAAATGGTTCCACCCTTCTCCAACCTGTTGTGTATAAAACCTTTCCTACCCACTACAAGACTTGTCGAGTTTTGCGGCACTCAGCCGCCTCTTGTGGGAAGCAATCAACGGCGGTCGGTCCGGACGAGGGAACAGTCGTGAATGGGGCCGTGAGCTCCAACTAGGCCGAGTTAGTGTTTTTCGCGGGATGGGATCTACTGCTATCGATCTTCAAGACAAGCTTCCATCGGAGGCACATCGGTTAGACCTAATGGTTTCGGAGGCGACTCCGACGTTCGAAGAATGGGTGATAGCTACCGGTAAAGCTAATGCTAAATCCCAATCGAACCACAAGCATCGGTCTTAGCAGTCGGTTCCTCCTTAGTCTAAGCACGGTTTCAAGTGCTTGCTTCGACAAGAAAATCGGATGGGCACGGGCCCCTAATCCATAGCTTAGAAACGCAAGGGTAAGGCTATTGAGGTAGGTATTAGTAGCATGAGGATTCACCCAAGCCACGATGGGCCTATGGAAGCTGTGGAAGAGATCTTGACAAGCTAGGGTACGTTGGATAGTCCATGTGTTAGGGTCATCAACCTCAAAAGCCGAAATGGTTTGGGTTATGAAGGGCGGGATGATGAGGTTTTGAACACCAATACGAAGCTCGGGTGGATAAGGCAACTCTTGTTATTTGTGCGAAGCAACCTACCGATGGCCCTCCGGATAGAAAAAGAAGCGACGAAGGCTAAAAGAAGTGCGAAGAGGGTTCCCACCTCCTCGAGCTGCTATATGTTAATTCTTACTTGGAATGTTATAGGTCTAAATAGTCCCCTAAAACAGCATAAGGTCGCCGGCCTTATGAAAAAAAGAAGATAAATGCTTGTGCTTTTATTGAAACCAAGCTCGGTTTTTCCAAGCTTGCTCAAATGCACGGGTTTTG